TCTTCGGCGTGCCCTGGGGGCCCCTTGGGGGTCTCCTGGGGCTTCCTATGGGGGAATATTGGGCGCCGTGGGAGCCTCTTATGGTGGCCTCCCGGGGGCCAACGGGCGGCCTCTAGGGCCAGAGACCTCGAAATGTCGGTGGGCGGTCCCCCTCTGGGCTCCCTCTTGGGGAGCTCTCTTGGGGCACACCTGCGCAGGGACCGCAGGCGGCCACAGCCACATCGCAGACACACGCTGGGGGATGTCTTGCGCACATCGAGAATTGTCGGAGCACCGACACCAGCTTCGTACTGGTTGTGGTAACCAGCCTCGAACGTATCCCTATCCCTAAGATGGGCGAGCAAACAGCGAGGACAATCTTAGGGATAGGCCCTCAGAAACTGAGGGAATCCTTAAGATCGGCATCGAGGTGAGGTGATGTCAAACATAGGGATAGGGATATGTTTCAAACTGGTAATGTGGGCGATGTGGCGTCCCAGGGCGGCCAGGTCGACCAACAGCCACAGCCCAAGTGCGCAGGTGTCGAGGTCGGCGGGTGCTCCCCCCCGAGGGGCCCTCCCGAAAAGTCCACCTAGCTGTGGTTGTGTCTCTTTGCTGTTTACCAGCCTGGAACCTATCCCTATCCCTATGCTGGGCACCTCCTCATCACGATGCCAATCTTAGGGATTCCCTTATTTTTTGAGGGCGGATCCCTAAGATTGTCATCGCCTTTTGGCGTGTCAATCTTAGGGATAGGGATACGTTCGAGGCTGGTAAGCTGTGTCTGGAACTTGGGTTGGCTGGGGAGCCTGCTGGGCCGTCTTGGGGCCCTCTTCGGGGCCTCGTGGGCCGTCTTGGAGCAATCTGAAGGGCCGCCGAGCGAGGCCGTAAGGGAGCGCTGGGAAGCGGGGAAAGCGAGAACGCCCAAATCCGTCAAAATCCATCGGGAAATTAGTGAATCTTGCCTCCCAGGGCCCTCTCGGGAAGCCTCTTGAGTCCGCCCTGGAGCGTGTTGGAGTCCTTGTCGGCTGTCTTGAGGGCAACTTAAGCATCTTCGGGGCCTCTTGGGACCGTCTTGGGCCCTCTCGGGACCTCCATTAGCCTGTCGTGGCCTGCTTCGGGGCGGGCCCGGGCCGCCTCGGGACCCCTTTGGGCCTTCTCTTGGGGCGCTCTTGGGGCACACTTGGGTTGTCTGGGGAGGGGGCTGTCTTGGCAATCCTTAGGGCCCTCTTGGCGTGTCGTGGCGCATTTGGGAGCGGGCCCCCGCAGTCACGGGAGCCCTGGGACCCCCCCGATCCCTCCATGGGGTAGTACGGCACCGGCCCGCCCCCCCTTGGCCTACTCCGATTATATATACATGTATGTATATATGTGTTGTTGTATATCGATTTACGTACATACATACATACATACATACATACATACATACATACATACATGCATGCATGCATGCATACATACATACATACATACATACATACATACATACGTACGTACATACATACATACATACATACATGAATCCATGCATACATACATACATACATACATACATGCATGCATGCATACATACATACATACATACATACAAACACACACATACATACATACATGCATACATACATACATACATACATACGTACGTACGTACATACGTACATACATACAAACATACATACACACATACATACATACATACATGCATACACACATACATACATACATACACACATACATACATACATACATACATACATACATACACACACATACATCCATCCATCCATACATACATACATCATGCATACACGCATGCATGCATGCATACATACATACATGCATGCATACATACATGTATACATACATGTACACATGGAACATGTATATGTGTGTACATATATATACATGTATGCATATATATATAGGTGCATATGTATACGTACATGTATAGTAGATGTAGATGTTTATGTATTGTGGATGTATAGTATATGTATAGATGTACGTGCATATGCATGTGCATATATATATATATATATATGTGTATGTCAGCGCAAGATGGTGATGATCCGCACTCGTCTTTGACAACCGAAAATTGTATCAGTTCGAAACAGCTTGCCCTGCGCTCCTCGCGCGCCGCACAACACGTACACCCCCAAACCATCGATACCCGCCCTCGCCGTCGCCGATCGGACGTCCATTCCCTGTGTTTTGTTCGGCTTCGTGTGTGTTTACTCGCCAAATGATTAAGGATGCTCTTCGATGGTCCTCGCCGATAGAAAAATCCTCTTCGATGATCAAGGATGCTCTTCGATGGTCCTCGCCGAAAGCATGCGTCCGAGCGATGCCAAGACCCTCGTCGCCTCCGAGCGGACACGCCCGGGGGGTAGAATGTTTTTGTTCTTTGTCTGCCGCGTGCAGCTGGCGCGGCCCCCAGAATGGGAAGAGGAGGGAGGAAGGAACACAAAGAGACGGCGAGGAAGGCAGCAGGACACGAAGAGGGGGGAGAGAGGGTGCCAGAGGGAGGCAGAAGAGCTGAGGACGCGAAAAACAGCGTCTGAATACATTGCAAGGAAGGCCAAAGCGAGAACGCTCCTCCGGAGTAAACTGCAACGTTTCGTCAACGCACGTGGCCCAAATATCTCGGGAGCGGCCAAGAGGGGGTTGTCCAAGAGGGGGGGTGCAAATCATGACCGGCGGCATGAGCGCGGCCCAGCGGGGGGCCAGGGACGTAATGAAATAAGAAGAGGCGCCATAAAATCTGGGGAAATATCATGGCCCCTGCCATGATATCCACCCCCCCTAGTCATCACCCCCTTCTTTTCCGCCCCCGAATATCAGGCGGAGCCGCTGCTGTTATAGACCGGGGGCCGGGGGCAGAGGTGGAGCGCGAATGGTTCCCCTTCCCTTGCCACAAACGCGGCTTGCGGGTCCTCGGGGGAGGGGGGACTTCAACTCAAAAAATACAGTGGGCACCAAAGGTGGGGATCAGCAAGAATTATTTCCCAGCAGTGTCAGGTCAACGACAAGCAACAAGGATCCACATCTCGGAATCCCGCTGCACCCACGCACCAAAAGATGGAGGAAGACCGTTCGGGTCCCCTCGTTCTTATCTGTACACACACAAATGACCTGCGCTGCTTGGGGCGCGGCACATGAATTACAACACGTATGTCGCACTGTACACACATTGCATCCCTCACATTGCCCACCCGAAGTGCTAAAATCCCCTGAAACGAGCCATTGCTGATAGTGACGCACACAGCAAAACTGAATCTCTTGGGGGGGGGCAAATTTTCCCTCCGCCGGCTTCCGCTGGCCTTTCATCGGCAGAGCCGCCCCCGTTTTGCGTCCGCCACCTTCCGCCGAGGAAGAGATGCTAACTCTTTCGATCCTCGAATGCGAGGCCCTGTCTAGAGCGCCCACTGCGTTTACATAGAGTGTGTGTTTTTTTTTTTTCGAAAACGCGCACACGTATTGTACTGCGCCCACTTATCAAACAACAAAGATCAGGCCAAGATGACGGGAGCCTCGATGAAGCCCGCCTTGCCCTCGAAGCCGACGGCCTGCCCGCACCAGCCCGCCCGGCCGAGCGAAAGCATAACGGCCGCTGGTACTGGTCATTGAGGGGTCCAGAAGCAAGTCAGGGGCGCCACCACCAACACCACATGGCCAACGGGCACAGTGGGGAACCATTGGTGGCGCGGTGTCGCTTCTGTTCGGCGTCCCGCTCAAGACGTATCGACCTTTCCAGGTTGGGGAAACATCGTGGACCTCATCGCCGCCTTGGGTGGCTCTGGTGATGTTGGTGTCGCTTCTCGTCCCTCGTAGGCTCCCCGCCATGGCGGTGTAGGCTCAGACCACCTCCGACGTCGCGAAAGGAATCGATAATTGCGGTCGGGCCCCAGCACTCTCAAGGAATGAGGAGAAAGAGGAGGAAGGCGGGAGGCCGAAAACGAGGAAAACCTCCGGACCCCGTTTTCCTTTCGGCCTGGTCAACGCCATGACACGCCCGATGAGCAGAGACAGAGAGGCTGACGGATTGAGCGGATTGCGCATTCTTCGTGTGCCGGCTGGCAGCAGAAGAAGCGGCGGACGAGAGAGTAACAAAAATGCCAGGCCGTCGCCGTCGCCGTCTCCGTCGCCGTCGCCGCCGCCGTCGCCGCCGCCGTCGAAGTCGCCGTCGCCGTCGCCGTCACCGTCGCCGCCGCCGTTGCCGCCGCCGAAGTCGCCGTCGCCGTCGCCGTCGAGGTCCACGTCGTCGCCGCCGATCGGCGAGCGCGTTCCACTACTCTCGCAAAGTAACTACTCGCAAATGGCCTGGATCCCCCACCAGGGATCTACGATACACTACATCAAAGCAGACGGGTGTTTTTTGGGACGTTTGCGAGTAGGCACTTTGCGAGTAGTGGAACGCACTCGGACTGCCCAGGTGGCAGGCGGCGGCGGGCCTTCCCCACAATGGGGCCCTGGAAGAGCTCCAGGAGCCCCGCCACCTCGCCGGAGCGGGTCGCCCGCCCGCGGGCGGAGCTCGCGAGGAGGAGAAGGAGGGGGAGGAGGGGGGGCGGAGGGGGAGGAGGAGGAGGAGGAGGAGGAGAGGAGATAGGAGAGGAGGAGGGAGGAGGAGGAGGAGGGGGAGGAGGAGGGGGGAAGAGGAGAGGAGGAGGAAGAGGGGGAGGAGGAGGAGGAGGAGGAGGAGGAGGAGGAGGAGGAGGGGGAGGAGGAGGGGAGGAGGAGGAGGAGGAGGAGGAGGGGAGGAGGAGGAGGAGGAGGAGGAGGAGCAGGAGGGGGAGGGGGAGGGGGAGGGAGGGGGAGGGGGAGGAGGAGGGAGGCGGAGGCGGAGGAGGAGGAGGAGGAGGAGGAAGAGGAGGAGGAGGAGGAGGAGGAGTAGCCGTGTTTTGTCAAGAGGGCTCCAATGGTGGAACTCCCGTGGCCCAGCAACCGCTTCGCCTGAGCCTGCCTCACAGGCAGGAATCACGATCTCGTGTCAATGCCGAGTACACCCTCGGTCCAAACGGCCACGATACCCTAATCCTGGTACGAAGATGCACTACGATGCACATGGCCGTGCTCTCGCCCTGGTCCCAGCTGTACCTTTCCTAGGAGTACATAGGAAAGCATGTTTTCACTGGCCGACCTCATACTCCTCGGCCCGCCTCGTCTTGCTGCCATCGCGATGCTTTGCTGGAGTGGTGTTGTTGCTGTCTTCTCGCTTTGGTGGGGGAGGGGTCTTTGGGCCCGCACATCCTCGTCCCTCCACCTCCTCCCCATCCTCCTTTCTCCCTCCTCCGTGCGCCCTTCCAGCTCCCTGCGCCCTCCTTGCGCTTTCCCCTCCCTCCGTGCGCGCTCACTCTCCCTCCCTGACTCCCTCCTCCTCCTCCTCCTCTTCCTCCTCCTCCTTCTCCTCCTCCTCCTCCTCCTCCCCCTCCCCCTCCCCCTCCTCCTCCCTCTCCCCCTCCTCCCTTTCTCCCTCCCTCCTCTCTTCCTCCTCCCCTGCGCCCGCCCAGCTCCCTCGTCGACCTCCGGCCCTGCACCACCGCAACCTGCCGGTCAGCTCCCGCGCCCCACCCACCCATCTTGGACGCCCGAAATGGGCTCGGAAAGAATGGGCACAACGCCCAACAACAAATGTTGTCCCGAACCAACAGCTGCCGCTGTTGAGCGGGCGGCCTTCTGTCTCAAATGGACACAGGCCGCGGCGGCGCGGACAGCGCGTCTTCAAAATGAACAGGAACTGCTGTTGGGCGTCGGCGCCACCGGGCGCTCCGCGGCCGCTCGCGCGCTCCTCTTGCCCTCGCGCCGTGCGCGTGCCCCTCGCCCTCCCCGCAGTGCGTGCGCGTGCTCCCCGCCCCTCCATTGCCCGCTGGCGCCCGCATCCCCCTTTTCCTCGCCGTCGCTCGGGCGTCCATGTCCCGTGCATGCTGTCGGCCTCGTGCGTGTGTCTTTGTTTGTTGCGCTCGATGGTGTCCAGGATGCTCCGCCAGGGTCCTCGCCGAGGAAAAACATGCACACGTCCGAGCGATGCCAACCTAGAGGAAAAAGAACCATGCACATACACCGATTTTGGCCAGGTCCATCCTGAGCCCAAGATCGCTGCATACGCCCTCCTGCCTGGGCCAGGAAGGCATATGCACCGATCCCGGGGCCAAGGATGGGCCTGGCCAGGACCGGTGCATGTGCATAGTTTCCCTTCGCCCGACAAGCCTTCCCCCCCCTCTTGCAGCTGGACAACTGGTGCCGCGCCTCAGCCCGGCCCACTAGAGACAATAGAGCACGCGCGAGCGGATTGCCTCTGCCGCGCTGCGACGCAACGGCGTTCCTACCTCTCCCGCTCGCTCGTGCGCTCGCGTCCCGCTGCTTGCAGCTCGCGCGCCTCGTCCGTTGCGCTGTCGCTCCCCAGTGCTGCTTCTGCCCCGCCGCCTCCCTGGCTTGCTCCTCCAGGGCCGCGCGGAAAACCCTGGGAGTAATCCGAAGCTCTGCGAACATATCCCGCTTCCTCCTCCCCCTCCCCCTCCTCCTCCTCCTCCTCCGCCTCCTCCTCCTCCGCCTCCGCCTCCGCCTCCTCCTCCTCCTCCTCCTCCTCCTCCCCTCCTCCTCCTCCTCCTCCTCCTCCTCCTCTGCCTCCTCCTCCTCCTCCTCCTCCTCCTCCTCCTCTCCTCCTCCTCCTCCTCCTCCTCCTCCTCCTCCTCCTCCTCCTCCTCCTCCTCCTCTTGCTCATCTCTAAACTTGAGACGAAGCCAAGACCACGAAAACATCGGAACGAATAAGCATCTGGATCTTTCAGATCCCGCGGTTCTTAAAGATGTACCGGGCATCGCGGCCGCTGCAAAGCGCTCCAGAACGCTGTGAGAGCGTGTGGGAACACTCTATCTCTGCTGCTGCTCGTCATTCCCTCTTTGCTGCTGCTGCTGCTGCCGCTGCTGCTGCTGCTGCTGCTGCTGCTGCTTCTCCGCCTCCTCCTCCTGCGGCTCATCGCGGGGCCACCCCCAGAGCTGTGAGGATCGTGTCCTCGGTACTCTTTGAGATGATGCCCATGACAATGCCGGCCCCTCCCAGCCTCGTGAGCGCGCGCTGGATGCATGGGGGGTGATGGGGGACAGCAGGAGTACGAGGAAGTCGTGGACGGAGGGAGAAGCAGGCTGAAGACGGAGGAGATGGAACACGGGCGTGAAGCCTTTATCCAACCTTGGTACGGAGTGAGGATTGGGGGGAAGGAGAGAAGGTTGAATGACAAGCCAGGTGCGCTGGCGCCATATTTGACATCCTACCCCACCAGCCCATCCCTTCCCATTGCGCTGATTATTTCTCTATCCGTCGACGCGGGTCCCAGCGGACCTGAAACTCCCAAAAAGACCCGATCACGTTATGCGTAATCGGAATTAGGGGAGCTGCGTACACAGGATGAGGGGGAGGAGGAAGGCGTGGCGGATGAGCAGGAGGATTGGCAGAAGGAAAAGGAGGAGGAGGAGGAGGTAGCAAGATGAAGACGAACAGCAGCAGCGGGAACCGCAGTGGAAGGACCCGAACGAACAGGAGGACCAAGGGAAGGCGGAGGAGCGGGATGCAGGGGGGGAGAAGCTGCCCGCGCTGAGGGCGAGCGCAGAGCGCCGTCCTGAGCGATGGGAGCGAAGCGCCTATCCTAAAACGAGTCCAACGCTGCAGCGGCAACAACATGCTGATACACCGAGGATGTGTCGATTGAAAAAATGAGAAAGACCAACTTTGGGAATCCTGTGTGACCAACAAGACGCGGAGAGGGCGGCCTACTCCCCGGCCATCTCCGGGGGAGAGAGGAAACTAATATTGATTCGGAATGCTTCGCTGTCAAGAAAGAGGAGGGGATTGAGCAACAAGTATAGGCCGCCCGAGGACGACCATGGATGACCCGGAGAGGGTCGCACGAGGAGGAGGAGGGGCACGAGGAGGAGGAGGAGGACGAGGAGCGGGAGGAGCGTAGGCCATGATCCCGATACGCAGTTCGATCCTCCCGCCCCGAGTCCAGGCGCCCCGATCTCGGCCCTCGGGTTTGGACGCCCGAGATGAGTACGGGAAACATGGGTACAGTGCCCGATAACAACACCTGTTGTCCCAGACCAGCAGCGGCAGCTGTTGGGCAGGCGGCCTTCCGTCTCGCGACCGCTGGGCGGCCCAACGTGGGCCGCCCACCTCGCCGTGACACATGTTGTCTGTGATCGAGACATCGGAGAAGCATGCTGACTTGGATTCTATACCTGCTCCGTCTCTGCCGTATCTTAAACGAGATCTTAAACAAGAAGGGATGCGCCAGGGCGTGGGCCCCGGGAAGAGAGGGGAGGAGAGGAAAGGGAGGAGAGGGGAGGGGAGGAGAGGGGAGGGAGGAGGGAGGGGGGGAGAGGAGAGGCGGCCGCCGCCCGGCCCCCTCGGGGGCCGCAGGGCCCCGGCGCTTGCCACGGCGATGGTTCCGAGGATCTCGCGGTCCCCCCCATCCTGTCCGGCGCGCAGGAGGGGGGTACAGTCGAGGCGTTGACCTAAGGAACCCTCTAAAGAAGGAGCGAGGTCCCTTTTTCCCATCAGTTCAACCCCGATTTCCCGTGGGAGACCTCAGGAAAACCCGAGGCAAACTTTGAAACAATCAAGGAACACCGAGCCCCTCCCCAACGGAACGGGTTCCTTCTGCAGCGCCCCGACTGTATGGGGTGGGGGAAGCTTATTAGGAGGCTGTTTCTTAGAAGGCGCCAGCCTCACGTCTAAACAGAAGGCCCGCGCCTTCTAAGAAGCAGGGGTCCTACAACAAACAAGCTATACTTCGATCTGCGATGGCAGAGGATAAGCCTCAACAACATCGGTGTGAATTCCACGCAGATCCTGGAGTGTGAAACGCCCCCATTGGAATCCTGCTGGGTGGCGCTATGTCCCTTTTCCGGCCTCCCGAGGGGCGCCACGACGCTTCACCACTTCCGCCACCGGCAGAACCCCTTTTAAAGCCGAGAAGCGACATCTGATCCGACCCTCCCCCTAACCCCCCTCTGCGCGTGGCCGACCCTCCCCAGCCCCTCAGAAGGCGCCAGCCTTACATCTAAACCGAAGGCCCGCGCCTTCTAAGGAGCGGGGGCCCTTCTCTAGAATCGGGCCGGGCGAAAGGGGGGGATAGCAAAGGGGGGGGTTGAGAATCAGCTCACATAGCTGATTTTCCCGGCGCCTCCTGGCGCCAGAGGCGGCCATGTATCGAGGAATGGGCCCCTCGGTGGGGCCGAAACCAGCTGCATGCAGCAAATGTTGTAACCCCCCCCTTTCCCAATCCCCCCCTTTCGCCCGGCCCGATAGAAGCCTCCCCCCCTCCCCCTGCCCCTCTGCGCGTGGCCCACCCTCCCCGGCCTCTCGAGCCACGGCCGCAGCATGCCCGACCGCTCCTTCAGCTCCGCGATCTTGTACCGCCGGGCGGACCTCCGCGACCCTCGCCAGCCTGGAGCATGTCCCTATCCCTAAGCTGGGCATCGCCTCAACACAGTGCCAATCTCAGGGGTTCCCTTCGTTTTTCAGGTCGCATCCCCAAGACTGTCATCGCCTTTTGGCGTGTCCATCTTGGGGATAAGGATACGTTCGAGGCTGGCGAGACCCGCGCGCAGGGGCGCGCCCGGCCGCCCCCCCGGACGGGGCGGGCGGGGCCCCCCGGGAGCGGCCCGGCGGCCACCCGAGCGAGGGGGCACCGCGAGACGGAAGGGGCACAGGGGCACACGAATCAAGAGACGCCGATCCGAGGAACCGCCCTCCTCCGCCTCCTCCTCCTCCTCCTCCTCCACCTCCGCCTCCTCCTCCTCCTCCTCCTCCTCCTCCTCCTCCTCCTCCTCCTCAAGGTCCTCCTCCTCCTCCACCACCAGAACTGGGAGGGGGTCCTCCTCCTCCTCCTCCTCCTCCTCTTCGTCGTCGTCCTCCTCCTCCTCCTCCTCCTCTTCCTCCTCCTCTTCCTCTCTCGACCCTTGAGGCGCCGTCCCATCCCACACCATCTTCCTCGTCCTCCTCCTCCTCCTCCTCCTCCTCGTCCTCGTCCTCCTCCTCCTTCCCCCCTCCAGCTGATGGTGGTGGTGGTGGAGAACAGGCCCCGTCAGACATGCCCACCCCAGTGGGGATGCATCATATGCGCCCGGCTGAAGGCATGACCTTGGTCCCACCGGCCGACTTGCCCACCCCGGTGGGAATGTATCATTTGCGCTGCGCCGCACGGCTTAGGTCGGGCCTGTCCCCCATACAAAGGGATTTTGGGCGGAAATAAAAAATAAGCAAAACATACGCCCAACATAATCAAAAAACAGAAAAACAAATCGTCCCCATACTATGTTTCTACTATTTTTGAATTTTCCTCCTGTAGAAGGACACGCCCGACTGAACACTTGCTGGGCGGTGCTTCGTGGGGGGCGGTGAAGACAGGGAGGGGGGGGGGGGGGGCGAAGAGCCGTGTACCCTTCGTGCCCCGTTCGAGCCCCAGAGGGCCCCATTGAGGGACCCCAAGGTTCGGGGTTGGACAGAACCCCCTTTAGCAAAAACAAAACACTACCCCCAAAAATACGCAAGACATGCCCAAAAATGGTCCAAAAGTCGTCCACTGACTATCTTTTTGACTATTCTTGAATTTTCCCTCTGTCGGGGATGGAAAGAACCCCCTTCAGTAAAACGTGGTTTAGTGAAAACGACCTCGGGCCCAAACCTGGCAGGCGCAAGCCTGGAAAATGACGGCCGCGGCGCCCTCTCGAGAACCGAAAACGGAGAATTCACCAATCGATGTGTCGACGTGTCAGGGTGGGGGTTCTGTCTACCTCCGAAAGGTGCAGGAAAGGTTCGGGCCTGGCGAAAGGGGGGGATAGCACAGGGGGGGTTTGAGAATCAACTCACGTATACCTGATTTTCCCAGCGCCTCTGGGCGCCGGAGGCGGGCAGGTATCGAGGAATGGGCCCCTCGGTGGGGCCGAAACCAGCTGCATGCAGTAAATTTCGTAACCCCCCCTTTCCCCATCCCCCCTTCTCGTCCGGCCCGAAAGGTGCACCTGCCTTCACTCCCCCGTCACGCAACGCCCGATATAAGCTGCCTGACCTGTCGCCAGGCGTGGCAGTCAGGGTGCCGTCGAAGTCGAACATGATCGCGCTGACCCCGCCGGAGACCTGCTTCTGGGTGGTGCGCCTGGAGGGGCGGGGGCTCGCACGACGGCCAGTTGCCGCACACGGCGGGTTCGTGTCGTGACGACCCTGACGTCGGCTTCCGATCGCTCAACACTGCACGAGCGGCGGCTCCCGAACGCCAGATCGTTCCGTGTTGGCCGATTCTGGGCCAATGGCGGCGTTCACCCTTGAGTGCCCGCGTCGGGATCGCCGCCGCGTCGATACGACACGAGCCTACCGTACCCAGATCTCCGACGAAATGCTTTTTCACTCCTGACGGTTTATTTCTTCGATTTCGGCCCTCGGGAGCCTTCTCCGAGCCAAGGGGTCATCTGAAATGGATCCGGGGCAAGGAACTCGCCGAAGGGGTCGGGACCTCTTCGGCCGCCGATTGAAACAATCAGATCGGCGCGTGTCAGGGTACACCGGCAGGGCGATGCAACAAAAAGCATTCGAGACGCCAACATATCTCTGCAATCCTACTCCCGTGCTCCTGATCCTCCTCCTGGTCATCATCATAATCCTTCTCCCCCCGCTCCACCTCCCACTCCTCCTGCTGATTCTCCTCCTAGCGCCCACCAAAAACGATCATTGATCTGTCCCGCCACGATGGGCCGCAAACGCGTGCTGGCTACGCGGTGAACGCACGATCAGAACTCACACATTACTCATGAGACATCTGCGCCCATCCTGGCCAGTCAAATCATGAGCCCAAGATCAATGGTTGTGCCATCTGGGCTCAGCGTCGAGGGCTTGTACACCGATCTGAGCCCATGAGTGGCCTGGCTAGTCCTGATTTGGATCTCTGAGATGCGGGTAACTCAATTCTGTAGCCGATCCCCTCCTAGAAGCCTTAGAGGCACATGTGCCCAGGCTCGCTGTCTGTCGGACTGCTCGGGCACGGCTCGAAAGCGGAAGAACTTGCCTGACAACCGAACACGTCCAATTGCTGCGGATTCTGAATGTTTCGCCATCGGTCTCCCTTCGCCTGCATGCAAGAGCGACCTTGGGCAGGAATGACCGTTCCTGCGCGGCTCTGGGCGACCGCGGAGGGCAAAGCCAAGCGCACCAGCCAATGATGAGGTTAGGTCGGGCATGTCCTCCTACAGGTGGGTTTGGGAAGAAATGTAAACAAATGCCCAACCAAACCTCAAACATGATCAAAACAAACTGAACAAAAACAAACAACGCACGGCACATCGTCCCCAGGCTATTTTCGAACTATTCTTGAGTACTCCTCCTGAAGAGATACATGCCCGATTTAATGCTGGAGGGACCCCTACGGGCTCGGGGCCCTCGCTGATGGCCCCTCCGGCAAAGGGCCACCCCTACGCGCAGCAGAGGGCCCCTTCGGGAGCAGCCCAGGCCAAGATAGCCGACCGCGTCCTCTGGCAGGGCTCGGCCTCAGCAACGCTTTTCGCTTTTCGTTCCGTGCTCGTTTGCCCTCGTTCTGTCTCCAATCCGCCCCTGCTGCAAGACGAAACCGAAACGAAAGCGGCCCACGAGATCGCCAAAACACCGTTTACAGTACAGGCCCGACCACAAGAAACCCAACCCTGAGACCCCAGGACGGGCATTGATTCCCAACCATCCTGTGGTGTTGGGTCCTCGTTTTGAAGAGACAGCGCCCCGCGTCCCACCTCCTCTCCTCCTCCTCCCCCTCCTCGCCCTCCTCCCTCCTCCCCCTCCTTGCCTCTGCTCTCGGCACACCCCTCACACGTTTCGTAGCCCCATAGGGAGCTCCACCGAAGGTCCCAGTGGCACAGCCCGCATGCGGTTCCCCCACCCAGGGCAGCGTTTCGTAGCCCCATAGGGAGCTCCACCGAAGGTCCCAGTGGCACAGCCCGCATGCGGTTCCCCCACCCAGGGCAGCGTTTCGTGGCCCCATAGGGAGCTCCACCGAAGGTCCCAGTGGCACAGCCCGCATGCGGTTCCCCCACCCAGGGCAGCGTTTCGTAGCCCCATAGGGAGCTCCACCGAAGGTCCCAGTGGCATGCGGTTCCCCCACCCAGGGCAGCCCCCATAGGGAGCTCCACCGAAGCCCAGTGTGCGGTTCCCCCCCCCAGGGCAGCGTTTCGTAGCCCCCCCATAGGGAGCTCCACCGAAGGTCCCAGTGGCACAGCCCGCATGCGGTTCCCCCACCCAGGGCAGCGTTTCGTAGCCCCATAGGGAGCTCCACCGAAGGTCCCAGTGGCACAGCCCGCATGCGTCCAGTACTACGTTTCGTGGCCCCATAGGGAGCTCCACCGAAGGTCCCAGTGGCGCAGTTCGCATGCGTCCTCCCCGCACCCAGTACAGCGTTTCGTGGCCCCATAGGGAGCTCCACCGAAGGTCCCAGTGGCGCGGTTCGCATGCGTCCCCCCCCACCCAGTACAGCGTTTCGTGGCCCCATAGGGGGCTTCCCCGAATGCGATACCCACAACTGCATATGGTTGGGTCTTTCGCCAGGCTAATTTTTTGTGTGGGGACGTCACTTCTTCCGTAGCAAAACCATCGAAACACAAAAAGCCCAGGGCACTCTGGAGGCAAGCAAAACGTTTCTTGGTATGTTGGGCGCCCGAGTTATCCGGGGTAACTCGGGTCCGGGGTAACGCGGGTTTGGATTCCCGAAAAACGAACCCGAGTTAGCCCTGACCCGAGTTACCCCTGATGATTTGGGGCTCTGGACGCCCGAGTTATCCGGGGTAACTCGGGCACGGGGTAACTCAGGTTCGGAATCCCGAAAAGCGAACCCGAGTTAGCCCTGACCCGAGTTACCCCTGATGATTCGGGGCTCTGAGTATGGGTCTCCACTGCAGGTCGACCCCTGCCTTCTGGCCCGCGCGCCTGGGGTCCGTCAGCCCCGAGAAGTTGGCCGAGACCGTGGCGGAGCCCTGCCCGTTGGGCGGGGCGACGGCGGCAGAGGAGGCGGATAGGGAAAAAGAGAGAGAGAGAGAGAGAGGACCACGAACAGCGACGAGGAATAAGGTGTGAAGAGAGTACAACAGGGCTAGGATCGGGATAAATCGCTCCAAAGCGTTCCGGAGCGCTCTCAGAGCGTTCCGGAATGCTCTGGAGCGGCCGCGGCGCCCAATACATCCTCCAAACCCGCCGATACTCAGAGATTCCGAGTTATCCCGATCCGATTTTGTCCCGATATTCGCGTCGTTTTAGAGAGACCAGGCAGGCCCGAGCTGGATCGAATCGCGAAGTCGCATCGGATCGGAACCGGCTCACATCGCCGACGGATCGCCCCGGATCGAATCGACATCGCATCGCCGCGCCGGGCTCTGGCTGAATCGGAATCGCGGCCGCGGCCGGCGAATCTCGGGCCGGGCGAAAGGGGGGGACAGCATAAAAAGGGGGGGGGGGGAGAATCAGCTCGCGTAGCTGATTTTCCCGGCGCCTCCCGCGTCTCCCCAAACCAGCTGCAATTCGTACCCCCCCCCCTCTCCCAAATCAATCCCCCCCCTCTCGTCCGGCCCGAGACTCGAATCGGAATCGCGGCCCCCGCTGGCGGATCGAAGGGCATCGAAGCGGATCGTGGGCGGCCTGCCGGGAGGTCTCCCAAGGGGCCAGGCAGGGAGCTTCTGGAGGTGGGGTCGGTCGGCCCCTCCTGCGCGCAGCGGCTCGCAGAAGCCCCCAGAGCTCCCTGGAGGGGACAGAGGGGCGGATGAAGAGAGAGAGAGAGAGAGTAGACGAGCGCGTTCCACTACTTGCAAAGTTAGAGGAAAGAGAACTATGCACATACACCGAATCTGGCCAGGCCCATCCTGAGCCCAGGATCGGTGCATACGCTCTCCTGCCTTGGCCAGGAAGGTATATGCACCGATCCAGGGTCAAGGATGGACGTTGTCAGGATCGGTGCATGTGCATAGTTCTCTTCGCCCGAAAAGCAACTACTCGCAAATGGCCCGGATCCCCCGCCGAGGATCTACGACAAATCACATCAAAGCGGACGTGTGCTTCTCGGAAGTTTGCGAGTAGGCTCTTTGGAAGTAGTGGAGCGCGCTCGGTGAGAGAGAGAGAGAGAGAGAGACTGACGAAGAAGAGGGAAGAGGAAGGCAAGTTTCTGTTGGAAGTGCATGCACGTGGGGTCGGGCGCCTTCCAGGTGCGAGCGGTCGGTCCTGGTTCGCGGAGCCCACCAGGGCTCAGGCATCCTTCCATGTGCGTTCGGTCGGTCATGGTTCGCGGGAGAGCGAATGGACATCGAGTGAATCCTTCATCTTCCTCCTCCTCCTCCTGCTCCTCCTCCTCCTCCTCCTCCTCCTCTCCATCCTCCTCCTCCTCTCCTCCTCCCCGTGCTCAGGCATACGACGTTCTGGAAAGCATGACGTGACAGAACAGCAACACACGACCACAGCAGAGCGCGACCAGAACTGGCGGCCCACTCTCTCTACGGCGCCTCTCCCCGGGCAAGATCGGTCTGCCGACTGGGGCCTCCCCGGCACGAGACGGGGCCGCAACCCTCGCCGTGATCTGTCGCATCGCCCTGGCCCGAAGGATCCTCGAGCCTCGGCCACGACGGGATTCCCCGACCCAGATCTCAGGAGCGGCCAGAGACCGGAGCCGCTCGTGAGCTCATCGTCTTGACTTAGGTCGGGCCCGTCCCCATACAGGGGGATTTTGGGCGAAAAATGGAAAATACTAGAAACATACTCCCCAAATGCTCGAAACAAATAGTCCCCATACCTTTTTTTGGGGGGGGGGGACTTTTTCCCATGTAAGGGACAGGCCCGACTTAAGTCTTGACTGTATGGGCCTGGAGGGCTATTTTCTGGCACTGTGGAGAGTCGGGGCCTGCCCCACCGCCTGCCGCGCGCCCCCCTGTCTTCTTTGTCTGTCGGCTGTCGTGCCCATGTTCTGATGTTCTTGTCGGCTCTTCGAGATTATTCCGCCTCGGCATGCCTTCTGGCAACTGCGCCCCGCCGAGAACGTTCCAGTGGTGTCCGAATCGTCCCGAACGGCCGCGGGAGGCCTGAGGTATGGCCCAGAGCCCGAGTAAGCGTCGTCGTGTCGTCTCGAACTGGAGGCTATCCCCTACTCCGTGCCAAGTGCGGAAAAGGGTAGGCAGATGCGCGCGCGTGGCGCCAGCGAGTCACGACAAGACGCACACGGCACTCATGCGTGTCGCTCTCCCTCTCGCCAGATAGATTCTCTCCCGCTGGGTTCGAAGAACACGTGCCCGCGCCAGCGCTGAGCGAGGGTGGGGGCGCGCGCTTCCGTTGGAAGAGTGCACACACGGGGCGACCTCTCGAGCTTGTATTAGGTCGGGCGTGCCCTCCTGCAGGCGGGTTTTGGAATACACAGTCAAAACACTCAAGAAATACTCAACAGAAGTCAAGCTGTGTGTGCAAAGTCAGAGCCATAAGTTAATCATGTTTGTGTGCGTGTGCGTGGCTTGTGTTTTGTTTTTGTTTTGTTATGTTCCGTCTGGTTGTTTTTTGTTGTGTGTGTGTGTTTTGTGCTGTTCCCCACCGGACAGGCTGGGGTCGCTAGATTGAAGCAACAGACCTCCCGGCCACTCCCACCCTGCATACCGCGGCCGCCAGACCCCAAATTTTCCCGAGTGTCCTGGTTATCCCGCCTCGCGCCCTCGACAAACACAACAGAACACACCCTGCATACCGCGGCCGCAAGAGCCCTAATTGTCCCGAGTGTCCTGGTTATCCCGCATCGCGCCCTCGACAAACACGACAGAACACACCCTGCATACCGCGGCCGCCAGACCCCAAGTTGCCCCGAGCGTCCTGGTTATCCCGCATCGCGCCCTCGACAAACACAACAGAACACACCCTGCATACCGCAGCCGCCAGACCCCAAGTTGTCCCAAGAATCCCGGGTGTTCCGCCTCGCGCCCTCGACAAACACAACAGAACACAATATGACACAACGGAACATGACAGGACAGAGCAAGAGCATGACAGAACATGGCAGAACATAGCAGATCAACATCATGACAGAATAGAGGACACCAGCATATCACAGAACATACCCGAACATAACATGACATGACATATTTGCGTTTTTCGTGAATGTGCCGCAACGGTCTGGACAGTCACGCAGGGGAGTGACGACGAAGAAGAGAGGAGGGGAGGTCTGATACAGAAGTCTCGAGGGCCACCTCTGGGGACCGAATGGCGGAGAGTGGGGGCAGGGAGTGGAGGATACAAGCGAGAGGGGAGTGCGAGTGGCGCACCGAGGAGCAGAAGCCGAGAGAAAGGACGCTCTTCGGTTGATCATACCAAGAAAAGGGAGAGGTTGATGACTAATTTAAGACTCTTACTTTGCACACACATGTCCAGAACAGTCCAACAATGATCCCCAGATGTTGTTTTGCTGTTCTTGCCTATTCCTCCTCCTGTAGAGGGACATGCCCGCCTTGAAATTTGTAAACACATGTGTGCGCGCGTCGGCTTGAACCGGGAGCGCGACGCCAGAAGCCAGTGCGGGGGGGGGGGCGGGCCAAGAGGGGGGCGTCCAAGAGGAGGGGGCGCAAATCATGACCGGCGGCATGTGCGCGGCCCAGCGAGTGGGCCAGGGACGTAATGAAATCCGCCGATAAGAAGAGGCGCCATAACATCTGGGGAAACATCATGGCCACCGCCATAAGATCCCCCCCCCCTAGTCATCACCCCCCTCTTTGCCGCCCCCGAGGGGAGGGCGGGCCACGAGGGAAACTCAAGCCCCCGTGCGCGAGAGACTCTGCGCGCCGACGCGAGGCCTTCCGGGGCCCACGACAGACCGCCCCGAGTGCACCTTGACCTGGCTTCGAACTCCCGCGTTGATCGGGGGCGGCCAAGAGGGGGGTGTCCAAAATGGGGGGGGCGCAAATCATGGCCGGCGGCATGTGCGCGGCCCAGCATGGGGGCCAGGAACGCAATAAAGGAAGAAGGGGCGCCATGAAATCAGAGGAAATATCATGGCCCACGCCATGATATCCACCCCCTCCTAGTCATCACCCCCCTCCTTGCCGCTCCCGAGCTGAACTGGGCGATCTCGGAAGCCTGGAACCCAAAAACGTGTTCGTTTCTTGGAGGGCGCCTCTTGCACTTCCGCCGCCTTTCGCCGAGCTTCCGCGGGCTTCCGCTGGGCGGTAGCCGGCGGGGGCGGCCTCGTTTTGCTTCCGCCGACCTTCCGCCGAGGAAGAGATGGCGACCCCTTCGATCCTCGGAGGCAAGGCCCTTCTTGGAACGCCTCAGCTGGTCTCGAACTGGTTTCTGACTCCCATCCGAAGTTGGAGCAAAGTCACTTTTTGGCCGCATGTGCGTCTGGGTGCACGAGGCGCACCAGCGGAGCAACCATGCAAGAGCCTAAGAAACAGCCCCCTCCTTCCGAACCCGATCTGATCATCAGTTCAGCGTGTTGACTGCTGATGGCTAGCGAAGATGGTGGGAACAAGTCTTCGCGCTCAGCCTTACAAACTTCGGCCGACATGGAGATACGCCACATAACTTTCAGCTGACCCCCTGCATTCCTCCTAAGGTTCGCCTGCGTTACACCTGTCACCTCACTGCGTAATGCTGAGCAGCGGATGACTCAGTCCTCTTGCCCGTTCCCTTCCTCCAGCGAGGCCGACTCGAAGGCCTCATCCCCAAGCCTGCGGAGTAGCACAGAAAAGGAAGGTGACAATGAACATGAGGACGGCGAGGTTAGGGAAAGGAAAGGCGGAAGAGGAGGTTGGAGAGAGAGGAAGAATAGCAAGGATGGTCCGGGAGAGGTAGGAAGACGAGGAGGGAGCCGGATGAAGGGGGGAGGATGGATGATCATGGGCGGTCAAGGGAAGGACTAGAAAGGAGAAGAAAGGGAGGGAGGGAGGGAGGGGGAGAGAGAGGGAGAGGAGGGGGAGCAATGGTCTGGGCCGAAGTGAGGCGGCGGGGGGCAGGCGGGAGAGAGAAAGAGAACTGATGGAGCGGACGGGTGGCACATGGAGAAGGACGAGGGAGGAAGCAGCGACGAGGAGGTGGAGGCGGAAGGGGGTCGGAGAAAGGACGATGAGACACGGATCAGAGGATCTGAAGAGGACAAGAAAGACGAGGGGGCTAGAACAAAAAAAAAAAACTGCATAAACATAAACTTTTGGCGCTCCGCGCGGATTTCTTGGATCTGCGCCAGACCCCTCTCCCTGGCGCGCGGAGCGCGCCAGAGGCGGCGCCGGAGGCGCTGCCAGGGGGCCCAGCGCAGGTACAAGAAACCCAACCCCGAGACCCCAGGACGTCCATGGATTTTGGGCGTGGGAACGCCACGCCTTCCGTCGCAGAACCATCGAAACCTCAGAAACCCTGGAGGCAAGCAGGATGTTTCTTGGCATGGGTCTCCTCTGTAGGATTGTGGATGCCACGACAATGGACACCCTAACAGTCCTACCATTGAATTTAACATTCATTTTAAATGTGTCAAACATTTTCTAAACACGTTTCAGACTTGTTTGTACATTCTTAAAACATGTTTGAAGCATGCTTTAGACATCAGGAAACTATCGGGCAGCACGCTTCCTCTCCATTGATCGACTTCCACAGCTTCCACAAAACCAGCGAAACCCAAGAGACCCTGGAGGCAAGCAGGATGTTTCTTGGCATGTGTCTCCTCTGTATAGGAACAAAGGATGGCGGCGCCAACACCGCCAGGGCGACGAGCTGCGAGGAGCAATGGGGATCTCCCTGGTGGTGTGGTCCCCCCCGTTTCGCTCGCGACATCCCCAGCCCCCAGCTCGGGGAGGCCTCGTGGACCTCCTCGCTGCCGCTCCTCCTCCCTCCCACCTGTAGGAAAGCTGCGCGGGCGCGGCCCCTGGGCCTCAGCATCGCGGCATGGCCCTCGGAGTCTGCCCGGCCGCCCGGCGGGGGGTCCCGCCGGCGGGACGTGCGGGCTGCCGCCAAAAGGGGGGCGTGCCCTGCTGCGGCGCTCGCGCCTCTTGGCGCGCGCACGGGGTGGGCACTTCTGAATGGGGGCCAGGGACACACAAATAAATACACACAGAGAACAGGATTCCCCATGTTTCCCCATGTGTTCGGGGTTTTCGTCTTCCCCCCACCCTCCATATTTTCCCAATATGTTCTGGGGAATCGGCGAAGAATTGTGTCCGTGTTTTTTTCCCTCCTGATTCCTCCCTATCCAGGCGCCTCACGGCGCCGGGATGCGCCCATGGATCGAGGAATGGGCCCGGCGGCGGGGCCGAAACCAGCTGCGTGCAGCAAATTTCGTCACCCCCCCTTTCCCAGTCCCCCCGACAGTCGGGACGATCACCTAAGGAACCCTGAATAAGGAACGCGGCCCATTTTTTCTATAAGTTAAAATTCGATGTCCCATCGAAAACCTCAGGAAAACCCAAGGCAAGCTGTGGAACAATCAAGGAACACCGAGCCCCTCTCCAACGAAAAGGGTTCCTTCTTAGGCGCTCCGACTGTATCCAGGACGAAGACCAAGACATCCGACGAGACGATTGCTGAACTTTCGGTGGCAACTCATGGGGGCCTCCCGTAGCACCATGCCGGCTTTTGCGAAGCGACGCCAACCGACGCTAAATCGACGCTCATCGACGCTGAATCGACGCTGATCAACGCTAAAAGATGCTACATCGGCGCTATCTCATCGACTCTAGAAGCTACTCGATGCGAAAAACAGAATTACGAGTTGCTATAGAATCAACTGGCGGTTCTTCCTCCACATCGGCCTCGCTCGCCATCGGGCCCCGGGAGCCTCAAAAGCGGATCCGGGGCGAGAAGCCTGCCCTCGAGGAAGGGGCGGGGACCTCTGAGGCCGCTCATCGACGAAAACACGTCGTCGGGTGTCTGGGAGTGATGTAGTGATGCGATGTGCGCCCCAGGAATGCCAGACCATCTGGCGGCCATCGTTTGTGGAGCCCGTGCGGAACAACATGTATGAGATCTTGGGGATCTTGGTGATGCAGGACCCTGCCAGGCAAGCTGTTCAGAGAACACGTATTCATTGTACTTCCGCCGCCTTCTTGGGGGAAAGCAAGAGGTACCGATACCGCTACTCCCTGGGCCTCTCCTGGGGCGCGTTCTGACCAGGATTTCGAGGCGAATCCAGCGGTGGCGACGAGGGCCTCCGAGGAGGCCCGAAAAGGGGAGAACGGGGGAAGGGTAGAGGTATGGGTGCCTTCTCCTCCTCTGACTTCTGCCGACCTTCTGCCGGCTCCGGCGAGCCCGCCGCCGTTGTGGTTCCGCCGGCGCCCGACGCCCCGAACATGCAAAGTGTACACGTCCTTCATTTCCAATCGTGCTCATTTCTAATTGTGCTCGTTTCTATTGTTCCTGGCCCCCCTAGTGGCCAGGAAGAGGCCCAGGATAGAACAATTAGAAATGAAAGGATCTTGGCCCCCCAAACAATTAAAGAACTCTCGAAGAATGAGACATGAACAATGTGTAGGCCTGAGCCGCGCCACGCGGCCAGTTCAGGCCGTCATCTGCGAAGCAGCAGGAGTACCCAGAACCCTTTTGGGAGGGGACCTAAAAGTTAGGAGGGCCCAGCACATTAGGGATACGGCGAAGGCATAGGATAAGGAACCCTTGGATAAGGAGCCCGGACTCTGGAAGCCTGTTGAGCTCCAATCGTGGAGTGGCCGTACATATTACCGCCGCACTCATCAGATAAGGAACCCTTCAGGATCTGAAACCTCCTGGGCACATTCCTTGACGAACGCCTCCACCGTAAGGGGTCTCTCTCTCTCTCTCTCTTTTCTGCAGATCTATCAGACCAAACCGCCCAGAATTAGTATCCCAAATGCGAAGACGGGACCTAAGTGAGGCCACGTCTCCATCGTGTTACTAGGGCTGGGGGCTCTTTTTGTTCTCAGTGATCATCCTCACGTTCGATTTTAGGGGAGCGCCTGCATCGCAAGCCGCGTTCACATCCAACGGATAAGGATTCTCGCAGCCTGTGGGGCGCTCGTCCATGCTCGACGGGCACAGACATGCACGGCAGCAACTTGGATAATGCCAAGGCTCGAGCAATCGTCCCAGATTCCCTGGATTGAAACACGCTGACACAAATAATCTCGGTGCACATCCCAAGCCCAAGAACCACGAGCCAGGATCGAGGTGGAGCCTCCATCTTGGAAGCTTATGGGGCCTCTGATCGTGCGTTCCCTCGCGCGCATTGCATGTATATGTACGCTTGCACCTGCACTGCCCAGCGTGTGCCGTGAGGAACGATCAATCCCAACACCGCTGCTCGGACAAGCTACATGGCGTCCAGAGCAGAGTGGAGGGAAGCAGAACGGAGCGAAGGGGGAAGGGAGAAAGGAGGGGAGGAAGGAGACGGAAGCGAAAGAAGGACGAAGCAGGGATGCAAACAAGCAGGGAGCAGGGGACGGATGGAGGAGGGACAAGAAAGGAGAAGCAGGAGGGGGCGGCAGGAGGGAGGAGAAGGAGGAGGAGGAGGAGGAGGAGAAGGAAAGAGAAGGAAGCACGGAGCAGGGAAGATGCGGAGGAAGGGAGGAACAGAGCCAAGAGTGAGGAGTGAGTGAGGAGGGAGGAGATGGACGGGTGCATGAGGTGGACGGAAGAGCTGGGAGGAGGAGAAGGAGGAGGGAGGCGACGAAGGAGCAGGGACAATGACGAAGTAGGGAGGATGGCGAAGTAGGAAGGAAGAAGCTGAGAGCGAGGTGGGAGGAATACCGGCAGGACAATGGCAGGATCAAGACAAGGAAGCGGGATGAGCAGGAGAGGGAGAACGAGGGACGAGCAGGAACCACCCATACACAAGTACGCAGCCTGGCCAGGGTCATCATGGGCCCTGACATGGTGTGTACGCCTTCCTGGCTCCTCACCGGGGGCCAGTCCATGGACCATCTCGGGAGCGGCCAAGAGGGGAGTGTCCAAGAGGGGGGGGTGCAGATCATGACCGGCGGCACGTGCGCGGCCCAGCGGGGAGGCCAGGGACGTAATGAAATAAGAAGAGGCGCCATGAAATCTGGGGAGATATCATGGCCCCCGCCATGATATCCACCCCCCCTAGTCATCACCCCCCTCTTTTCCGCCCCCGACCATCCTGGGGCCCAGGACGGCCCTCGGCAGGCATGGCGTTGCTGCGAGCATACTTCAGTGGCAACTCCTGGGAGCCTCCCATGCCACCTTGTCGGATCCTGCGGATCGACGCGGGTCAAGGCTAAATCGACGCTCGTCGACGCTAAATCGACGCAACATCCGCGCTATCTCATCGGCTCGTCGACGCTACATCGACGCTAAATCGACACTCGTCACCGCTGAATCGACGCTCATCGACGCTAAGTCAACGCCGAATCCGTGCGCTGTCTCATCGGCTCTCAGACGCTGCTTGCTGCTGGCCGACGAGCTGCAGGCAACACCACGAAGGCACGCAGGGCTCCCAGGATCTGCCGGCGTTGTGGATGCCACGACAATGGACACTCGAACAACCCGATCATTGAATTTTGAGTGTGTGTTGAAAATGTGTAAAACATGTTCCAAACATGTTTCAAGCATGCTTCCAACACGTTTAAGCCATGGCTGAAACATCTTTCAGGCATCGGGAAACTATTTGGCAGCACGCTTCCCCTCCATTAATCGACTTCCACAATGCCAGCGAGAGTGTGTCTGCGAGCCTTTTCCGGAAGGGCGGGGAGGCGAGCCAGGAGCACGAGGGACAGCGCGAAAACACGAGGCGGAGGAGGAGGCGGCCTGGGCGAGGGGCAGAGGCACGCCCGGCCAGCGTCCTTCCGCGCGCGCGGCGCGCGCGCGCGGCGCGAGCCGCCAGCGAACGCGGGGGGCTCCAGGTGGGCGTCGAGACCGAGGTCTCACATTTGGCGGCGAGCGATGGGGGGAAGTGAGAAGGGGGGGGGGCCTTCTCCGAAGGCGGCGGGACTTCTCAGAAGCCCGTGCCCATTCTGAGAAGTTTTCCTCTGTCCTCGGGGAAATCTCAGAAAGCTTCTGAGAAGGCCTTCTCCTTCTAACTTCCTCCTCTCGCTCGCCGCCGATACATGTCGTTAAACCATTGTCAGGAACACGACGTAGGAGGGGGGCTGCGGTACACTTGTCTGATCGGCCCGCCCCCGAAGAGGGTGAGGCCAAAGAAGGCCCCCTCGACCCATGGAGCAGAAAAACGTCCTTGCCATCGCTCCGACGTCAACTCCCCGTGCGTGTTGTTCCTCAGGATGGTCCAAGACTGTCCAGAAAACTGCCACACGTTCGAACAATGTCAGAACTCAAGGAAGACTGGGGGTCCGGCAATCCGAGCACCTGGATCGTATGCACGCGGGCACGGCGACCGTGTGCGACGGCCCGCGCAGGGCACCCACGCGGCAACCCGTGTAGGTAGGAGTGCGCCCACGTGCGATCTCTGTTGTTGGCGGGAGGCTTGCGCGAGAACGCTGGCGCAATCGACTGGACGTTGGTATCTCATGTGACAAGTAAAAGTGTCTGTGCACCCGCTGGGGCTTTCTGCGTAACCCCCGCTCGGGCGATGGGTGTCGTGTGGCCAATTGGTTGCACTCAAAGAGAAAGGCGATGTAAACGGCCCGTGTGCTGTTTCAGAAATCAAGTGGGCCATGATGTGATTGGGATCAACTTGAACTGTGCAACCTGCTCTAAGCCTGTGTCCACCACCATGTGTGGATACGTCATCGCGTGTCAACGGCCGCTGCGTAGACCCAACACATCGATCGGACCGCAGCAGCGTAAGCAAAGCACCGCATTGCAACGACATGCAACACAATGCGAGTCCCTGCAAAGCAATCCAGTACCGTGCAGAGCAATGCAAATCAATCGCTACCATCGATGCAAACATGCTTCATGCTCTCTCGCAGCGAAACTACAACTCACGTCATACTCACCACCCTCGCCATTGCCATCAGAATCGTCAACAAGCTCGCCATCATATACATCGCATGCGTCTCCAACATGGACATCAGTATCACCGTCACCACTATTATCACAG